GACCCTTCTTCAGAAGAAGGGTCTAGGCCTGAAACGTCAGCTTTCCTGCTCCTCTGATGCTGCTTGGCCTGCTGTGTTCATCCAACTCTACACCTTGTTATCTCTGGTTTACTTGAGGCTTTAAGTATTTTACTGAACTGACACACCACCTGGTCTTTCAGCATTCTGAAGGCTTCTACCAGCATTGTTCACACCCACAAACTGTTCAGCACACAGGAACCAATCAGATAGTTGTTTTCAGGCCATTATCCTTTGGCAATCATAACTGGCCACAGCTGCACACACCAATCAGCAATCTGTTGCTGGCCGAATCTCATCGTGCACACAGACACTGCAGTCAAGCTGTCTCCTCTTACTCCTTGTCAAACTGCTTGCAGAACAACAATGTCAACATGATTTACAATGCGTTTCACTAACTTGCTTTTTAAGAGTCCTACAATCTTTTCCTCGGTCCTTTGTTGTATAACAGTCCTCTTCCCAATTTAGTCCACAATCAAAAATAAAGTAAAAGAAAAAGAAATGGTCTTCACATCTGTTGGGTAAGTGCCACAAAAATCCTATTGTTGTAAAAGACTCCTTTGATGTTTGGGGCATTTTACGCAGTTTTATGCTCTTTTCCCCCATTTCTGACACCTTCTGTTAAAACCTAATTTTGAATCCTGCAAAAATCTGTCAGGACTTGCAAAAAGGACAAAGTTCTGAGGGATTTGATGATACTATATTAAAAAAATGCCATACATTGGAAACAATATGGAAAAAGTTGACATGGAAAAGAAACAATAGCCTTGCTTTTAAAAAAAAATCAGGCAGCTTGCAATTTGAGAAGACGTTCTTCAAGGAGTCAGCAATAAGCATTGTAAAAACAAATAGATGTACCTCCAAAACTAACCATCTCTCCACATGTTTGTTTGATACCTTTACTTCCATTCCCTGATGCTGTTTTCCTTCAAAACAGGTCTGTACTGGTACTTGACAGGTAGACTTGGAATATGAACTCAATTTAAGAAGAACTCACAGATGTAATGAAATTGAATGCACCCCAAGAGAAGCAAGGAATCATTTTTCTCTCATGTTGATGCAATCAATGTTAAATTTTGAGAGAATTTCTTGTGGGTGTAGATGTCAGACCTATGACAAAATACCATTTGTTGTGATGACACGAGCATAAAATAGTTGTAAAACCATGCTAGAGCAACAGAACTGTTCACAGGCAATGGCAGCTAATATTTTCTGAAGATCTATAGTAGGGTAGATACAAAAAGCATGGAGGACGTAGTTCAGAAAGTAACACGGAAGCTATCAAGTGTTCTGAAAAATAAGTGACATTGTAGACTTGCAGCAAGATACAATGCCATGCAAGAATATTCCAGCAATCTGACATTCTCACACCATGTTGAAATTTCAGTATAAGATTGCAGTGGTCTTAGTGGATTCAACAGTCATGGGGTAGAAAAATTTCTCCAGCTCTGGTGGAGGGACAAGAAACATGATGCATTGCCTCTCTGATACTAAGTTAAAGAAAATCACTGAAATGGTAAAGAATATTTTGACCTTCATTACAAAGGGATGCAATAGGATTGGAGTAATGGAATAAAAAAATTCTTCCTACAATTGCACAAGGTTTTGATGGGACCACATTTAGAATACTGTGTAGTTTTGGTCATCAAATTTAAGAAAAGATATACTTGCATTCTGGAATGCACTGCTGGGAAGATAGTTGAGGTGGGAAACATCACAACCTTTAAAAAGCTGAGTACTTGAAAGATAATATTCAAGGCTCTGGGCTAAGTGATGGAATGTGGAACTAATGCAGCTATAATGTAGTATTTTGTCAGTGTACACTCGCCAGGCTGAAGGGCCTCTTCTTTGCTATATAATTCTATGATCCTTTGCATTGGAGGCTGTGTAGCAAAAGTAATTGGGACCAATTTTGTTTTAAATTCTTGCATTTGTTGTCCATCCTTAATTTCTCCTGAACTGAATGAATTTCTCACCCATTCTAAACGGTGGTTAAGAGTCAATCATGTTGTTGTGAGTCTGGAGCCACATGTAGCACAGACGCAGCAGAGACAGGAGATTTGCTTTTCTTCAGGATGTTAGGTTGTCCTGTGATGACAGGCTGAGTTATTTAATTGGGCTTATCCATTCTGGAGTGTGGAAGTGTGACAGATGATCTTATTGAAAAATACACGATTATGAAGGAGATGATAAAGTAGATTGAGGAGCCCAAAATACTAGGGTTCAGTTGCAGAATAAGGAGGCGAATCATTTAGGACTAAAATGAGGATAAATTACTTCATTCAAAGGTTCTGAATCTTTGTAATTCTCTTCTCCAGAAGGTGCAGACAGTCCATCATTGAAAATATTTAAGGCTGGGTTAGATAATTTTTTGATTACTGAGAGGATCAGCTGACATGGGGAGCAAGTGGGAACATGGTGTTGAAGGCCATAGTCAGCAGTGGTCATACTGAATGGCAGAGTGGACTTGAAAGGCTATATGGTCAACTGCTGCTCCTAATTCTTGTGTTCTTGAAGAAGGAAGTCTCATCCATGTGATAACTGATAATATGAAAATGAAATGGGTTGTGGTTCCTGCAGTTAAACTTTCAGGAACTTCAGATTCTTAGGGCATTGCGACGTGTTCAGGGAATGGAGGAATCTGTATATTGTAGATGTGTTACTCATGAATGAAATTGACACTGTTGTCCCTGTGGAAATGTTACCTAGTGCTGTGGGGAAGACGTAAATTAATTTAGCACCAGGATTAAACATTACAGAGAAAAACATGGTGAATAGAAGACTAGTAGAGGTAATAGCGCTACAGTACAGAATAATTTAGAAACATGAGATCAGATGGAGAAAATGTGAGGCAGTAAGATACATTTGGAATGTACACATGTAAATGCACACAGCATGGTTAAGACCCAGAAGATGTAGGAGCAGAAGTAGGCCATTCAGCCTATTGAGTTTTCTTCACCATTCAATAAAATCATGGCTGATAATCCACAACTTCACTTTCTGCCTTTTAGGCGGTAGCAATTGGCAGCAAGGACGGGCCAGTAACGTGGCGACAGCGACGAGAATGGACCTTTCGCATGGCGGCTGCAGCGGCCTCCTGGGTGTCCTAGTGATTGGAGCAGCGCCTGTACCATTATGGAGATGGAACTTGGGACTCTGAGATCTGGGCTTTTTTTTTCTTCTTCCTTATCTTTTGTCTCTGTTAAAATCTTCTAATTCTGGTTTTTGTAACCAAGTGAGCGGCAGTGAATGGCACTTTTCGCTGTACTTATGTATTCCTATACTTAGTACATATGACAAATAAATAAATCTATAACCCTTGATTCTCTCACTGATTAAAAATCTATCTTGAATTCAAACATGCTTAATGAGCCAGACTTGACAGCCCTCTGCGGCAAAAAAATTCCACTATCCGAGGGAAGAAGTTCCTCCTCATCTCTGTCTGAAATATGTGACCCCTTATTCTGAGATTATTCAGTTTGGTCGCACAGGTTCCCACAAGGGGAAACAACCTCACAACATCTACCCTGTCAGGTCCTCTAAGAATTTTGTATGTTTCAATCATGTTACCTCTTATTCTTAAATTACAATGAGCAAAGGTCCAACCTACTCAACTTCTCCTCATAAAATAGACATTCCACACCCGAAATCAGCCTCATGAACCTTCCTTGGACTGCCTTCAATACCACTATAAGCTGCCTTAGAAAAGGGAGTCAAAACTGTTCATGGCATTCCAGTCGTGGAATCAGTAATTGCTTTGTATAGTTTTAACAAAACCTCCCTATTTTTATACTCAATTTTCTTTGAAATAAAGGCCAACATTCCATTTGCTTTCCCTATTTATCCATTGAATTTGGAAGCTAGTTTTTTGTGCTTCATGAATGAAACAAAAATCTCTGTTCTGTAGCTTTCTGCAATCTTTCTCTATTTAAATAATATTCAGCTCCTCTATACTTCATGCCAAAGTGCTTACCTCAAATTTTCCCACATTATATTCCATCTGTCAAGTTTTTGCAAACTCACTCAACCAGTCTATATCCCTCTGCAGACACTTTGAGTAATCTCACAATTTGTCTGTCCACTTATTTTTGTGTCACCCACAAATTTGGCTATAGTACATTCACTTTCTTCATCCAAGTCATTAAGATATATTGTAAATGATTATGATTATTTACAAGTGCAGCACTTATCCCTGTGGCAATCCACTAATTAGAAGTTTCTACCCGTGAACATACCTCCCTAATCCCAACTCTCTCTCTTCTATTAGTCACATTCCTCGATCATGCTAATTCTTTGAGGAGGTAACAAATCAGGTAGATAAAGGGGGAGCAATGGATGTAACATATTTGGATTTTCAGAAGGTGTTTGATAACTTACCACAGATTAGGTTACTTAATAAGCACTGATTCTTGTGACACAGCACGGGTCACAGGCCTCCAGTCTGAAAAGCAACTGTCCACCACCACCCTCTGTCTTCTACCCTCGAGGCAGTTCTGTACCTAAATGGCTAGTTCTCCCTGTATTCCATGTGATCTAATCTTGCTAACCAGTCTACATGCAGAACTTTGTTGAACGCCTTACTGAACTCCACCGCACTGTCCTCCTCAATACGCTTTGTTACTTCTTCAAAAACTCAATCAAGTTAGTAAGACACAATTTCCCACACACATAGCCACTTTGACTATCCCTAATCAGTCCTTGCCTTTCCAAATACATGTAAATCCTGTCCTTCAGGATTCTCTCCAACAACTTGCCCACCACTGATGTCAGGCTTACTGGTCTGTAATTCCCTGGCTTTTCCTTAGCAACTTTCTTCAATAGTGGCACCACCTTAGCCAACCTCCAGTCTTCTGGCACCTCACCTGTGGTCATCTGATGTACTTTACTCCCTGAAACCTCTTTACCTCTAGCAGTCCTTAAAATCCAACTTTGACCAAGTCTTTCATCACCTTCATCACATTTTCCTCTGTGGCTTAGTGTCAAAAATTATTTTGTTGCACTCTCTCAAAGTTTTACAACATTTTAGAGGTGTCTTATAAATTCAAATGACCAAGTTTGTTAGGAAAACACGGCTGGTTTATCTGCTCTGCACTCTGAAGGAAAATCAGCATTTAATAGATTTTGATGAAAGGCCTGAAATACTAATTCTATTTCTTTCTTCAGAAATGTTTCTTGAGCTTAGTATTTCCATTGTTCCTTGTTTTTATTTCAGCTGTCCAGAAACTGGTTACTATTTGCTGTTACTTTCATAAGAAATGGTGCATTTTGGAAGTGTTCCATTGTGCTACTCATGAAGAGTGTCTATTATTTGCTGCTCACTTTGTCAAAGCCTGTATTTTTCAGTTGTTTGACAATCAGATGGTGACAATCTTTCTTAGCAGTCAGGATTGGGTATGGACGAATCAAGATAAGCAGGTCTATTGAGGGCAACTTGGCTCCAAAGCGATATTCCATGCAATGAAAGCTCAGAACTAAGTGAATCATCTAATTTTGTTATCTACACCCCATGTAGACGTACACGTTATTACCCCAATGAGAGTGCTCAAAGATAGTTTACATTTCACATAGGGCGAGCAGTAAGTTTAGATAGGTATGTGGATTTCTTAGTCGATGAACGTGATGATTTTCTATGTTCATCATGAATCCAATTTACCAAGAAAAGTCATATTTCAAGTCAGTATTGAACTTACTATTAGAAAAAATGGATGGATGAAGTAAATAAACGAGAGCAGCATGAGTCATCAACTTCAGAACATGAAGCTACGGAAAGAAAAATAAAATTGAACCATGGGAAATTATTTCTTTAAAAAAAAAGTTTTTGTAAAACTCGATCACGTATATTGAATTAATTTTCTCTTGAGGTCGTAAACTCGATGGTGCTCAATTTCAATACTCAACCCGCACGTCAGGCACATTTTGAAACGACTGGCGTTTGGAAGGTCTTTGCGGCTGACCTCTGCCAGGGACCCCGCCCCTACAACTCTCCCGCCGTCCGATTGGCTCGTGGACGCCATAGAAACCAGCTCCGTCATAATGGGTCGTGTTCGGTCGGTTCTCAGTTCAGACTCCTCGGCGCGTCAGCCATGATGCTTTTCAATTGAAGAAAAAGTTCAACTTCCGCTAATAAAGTTAGCCCGGCGGTGCTTTTCGTCGGCTCTTCTCCTGTGTGAATTCCCTTTAGGCTGGTAGTGGTAGTGGGATTTAAAACAAAAAAAAAGTTGGTCGGTGTGGACTGTGAACGGAGGAAAGAAGGAGCCAGTAAAAGTTAGGAAACTGGTCGAAAAGCCACCCGACAGCAGACGAGTGTTTTTTTAAAAAAAAACTACAACCAAGCAGGAGAAAGGGGAAGGGAGTGGAGTGGATTAAATATAAAAAAAGCGGGGATCAGGAACGGAATAGAGAGAGTCGGAGAGACCTGACAAGAAAAGGAGACGAAGTGAGAGGAAGGGGTCTGTCGGTGTGAGTGCCCCGGCCGGCGTGAGGAGGAGGCGGTGGCAGCGGTTAGAGCTCGAGCAGCGGCGCGAGAGGGCAGCGCGAGCCCCAGGGAGGGGGGCGCAGGCGCACGAGGACCAGAGGCCAGGCCAGGACCGGGTCCCGAGCTTCCCCACTCCCGATTCACGATGGACTTCAAGACGGCGGTGTTTAACGCGGCCCGGGACGGCAAACTGCGGCTGCTGCAGAAGCTGCTGACCGCCAAAAGCCCGGACGAGGTGTCGCAGCTGGCGGCCGAGAAGACCAACGGCGCCACGGCGCTGCTGATGGCGGCCCGTTACGGCCACCTGGACGTGGTGGTTTACCTGCTGGAGCAGTGCGGCGCCGACGTGGAACTCGGCGGCTCGGTCAGTTTCGACGGCGAAACCATCGAGGGGGCGCCGCCTCTGTGGGCTGCCTCGGCCGCCGGCCACCTCACCGTGGTGCGGTCTCTGCTCGAACACGGAGCTTCGGTCAACAACACCACCCTAACCAACTCGACCCCGCTGCGGGCTGCCTGCTTCGACGGTCACTTGGATATCGTCAGGTACCTGATCGAACACCGCGCTGACATGGAGGTAGCCAACAGGCACGGCCATACCTGCCTCATGATCTCTTGCTACAAGGGTCATCGGGAGATCGCCGATTACCTTCTGCAGAAAGGAGCTGATGTCAACAGGAAAAGTGTGAAAGGTATTGGCTAAAGGGAAGCCCTGCGGCCTTCGCTTCGCAGCTACCTCCGTCCCACCGAGCTGTCTTTCAGGGTCTATCTCTCTGTGTCTGTCCGTGACTGCCTTGCGCTCCCTGTATGTGCCTGTCTCATTCTCTGTGCCTGTCTGTCTCGATTCCTGATGTCAATTTGTAAGTAACGATCAAGCTTGTCGCAATGATGATTAGGGTAGAAAAGAAAGTTGCTTTGGATCTTTGGTTTTCATCTAGAACATAATGTATCCATGCAGCTTATCTGTAACATGTAAAAACATCAATTCACCACTATCCAACCCACCCATGAACTGCGGTGTTATTTGATCCTGTTCTTACTTACAATCTGCACGGACACATTTCCAGATAGTGTTCTGTAGAAATCCTACCTAAGTACTGTTTTACCCTAAAGCAAACTACCAGCCTTCAGCTACAGTACTCCAGTTGACACCAAGTAACATGGTACAATCCATGACTTGGCAATTAGGTAAACTCTCAAAGCCATCACAATTACTTTGAGCTACAGTAATGTTGTACAAATAGTTTATTCCTTTAAAGTAAGATGTATATTGTGACTTATTGTATGAGCAATGGGCCAGATTATTGGATGGATGTGTATGTGTTATCACCTGTAGATTATTGGAACTGATCAAGTATAGACAATGCATCAATAGAATCTGGTTTTAGAACATTTTAGCGGGAGTTGTACTGTCTGGGAAAGATTACATTTTCAATAAACTGACATTTAGAGGTGCCAACAATAGCGAATATTGTAGATACACTATTCAAGAGCAATTTATAGGAACTTTATTCTAATTTTAAAAAGTACACTTTGTTTAAATCAAATGGTGAGCATTGATGTATGACAGGATGAGCAGAAACCTTCAAGTTGATAAGCAGAGTCCATTTTTAAAAGTTGTTTATTACAGTGCACTCTACCAACTGTTTGGGCTATCTTGTTAGATACAAGGTTCTGTGAAAATGATTGTGCCAACTCTTAAACCTGTCTTCAGTTAGCAGTGAAAGTGGATAAAAATACTTTCGAAGGGTCCATTTCCTTATTTATGTGAACTTATTTACAATAATATTGTTTGAGTACTGCTGTAAAGAAAAATGCTCTAAAAAACCTCTTTTTGTCCTAGGAAGTGCAAGACGTGAATACCAAATTTCAAAGCGAGCAGCACTGTCAGATCGCAAGGTTGCTAATTTGGCAGGGAGTACATTTGTTTTGTGAGAGTCTAACCTGTCCCCTGTTCCTTTTTAGTCTAAAATGTGTTACCTTGTATTCAAAGCCATGTTGGCCAATGGTGCATTTGTTATGTGGTGTCCATCTGTGTTTGTATAATACTGTGAAACAGGGGAAGTGTATGTTGTCCCAGAGCACAAAGATAACATGTACCGTCTACTATTGTGAAAATGCTTGAATCTTTGTCTTCCTTTGGAATTTTTTTTTCTTGACTTTTCAGTTTTTTTTAATAAGAAAATAACTAGTTATTCATGGAACTAGTTCAGTACCTTCGCCTTTGGGACTTGGATTTGGAAAATGTAGCCCTGTTTTATCAGTTGGAATTCTGTTCTGCTTGTAAGGAGCTGATGTGAAGTCAATCTGCTGACATTTGATCCAATTTTTAGTAGACAAATAACTGATTACATCTGGCACCTGGATTGGCAGAAGATTCTGTTCTAAAGTGCTGATGCTTTATTCATGGTTTAATTGTATATTGCTCAATTTTCCTCCGTATTTGCAGGTCTTCTGAAAGATTTGTTCATTATAATTATTGTTTACTTGGTGTTGAACTTGGTAATATGTGGACCACTTCAGATAGTTGTCATTGTGTTTAAGGTGAAATTATCTTTTGAATCGGAGAAAGGAATAGAAAAATTTTTGGATGGTTAAAGAAAATAGTGGGAAGAGGTTCATGTGGAGCATGGTAAGGCCTCTTCATGTCCTGCTAGATGTGACTGTTCTCATCTAGCTTTTTTTCAATAGTTTCTAATCAGCCTGGTCAGGGATGCTATCTCACGCCTCTGGAGCAATTGGGACTTGAAACCATGCCTCCTGGCCCATAAGTAAAGGTACTACCGCTGTGCTACAAGAGCCCTCTGGTTCCATTCTTAACTGTCTAATGGTAGCTAGAGAACCACCTGCCACGGCTTCTCTTCCCACCTCTGCATCATTTATCTCCTGTTCCTTTAGAGGCGATGAGGAACTTGCAGGAACCAGGGTGTGTGATAGAAGGCAGATTCAGGAAGTTAGAAAACCGTCAATACAGTCAAGTAGATGGGTTACCTGTATGAAAGGTAGGGGTGATAGGAGGTAGTGCACGAGCTACATGTGGCTAACCCCATCTCAAGCAAGTATGCTGTTTTGGAAAGTGTAGAGGGTGATAGACCCTTGGGGGAATGTAGCACTGACAGCCAGGTTACTGGTACTGAGATTGCCTCTGCTGTAATGAGGGGTATGTCGGATTGTAAGTAATCGATGGTGATAGGGAGCTTTCTAATCAGGGGCACAGACCTTTCTGCAGCCAACCTCATAATATCAGAATGGAGTCTGGCCTCCCCGTTGCCAGGGTCGAGGATATCTTAGAGAGTGCAGAATGTTCTCAAAGGGGAGAGTGACCAGTAGGAGATCATTGCATGTGTTGGTGCCACCGACATAGGAAGAGAAAGTGATGTTCTGAACAGAGAATGTAGGAAATTAAACAAAAGGATTTGAGAAATAGGTCTTTGAGGGTAGTAATAACTGGATTACTCCTGGTGCCATGTGCTGTGAGTGTAAGTAGTGGAGGATAGAGCACAAGTGTGGTTGAGGAGCTGGTGTAGGAGTCGGGGGTTTACATTTTTTTGGGATCATTGGAATCTTTTTGGGAGTAGATGTGACCCGTATAAGAAGGGCAGATTGGAAGGAAACCAATATCCTGGTGGGGAGATTTGCTAATTCTATTCAAGAGGCTTTAATCTTGTAAGGGGGTTGGGACCCAAAGAGAGTGAGAAAAGAGAAGTCTGAGGCTGGGACAGTTAAGAGGAGCATGTCAAATAGTCAAAGCAGTGAACGAGGTAAGACTGATAAGTTAGGATGCATTTATGTCAATGCAAGAGGCCTGATGTTTAAGGCAGATGAACTTCGAGTTTAGTTGGAACATGGGATTGGGGTATCATAGCTATTACAGAAATGCCTTATGGAAGGATAGCACTGGGAGCTTAATGTTTGAGGTATAGATGCTATATAGAAAGGTGGGGCAAGAGAGGAGTGAGAGTGGTGTTTTTGATGAGTGATAACATTATGGCTGTACTCTGAAGATATTCCAGGGAGTACATCCAGTGAAGTTATCCAGGTAGAACTGAGAAATAAGAAAGGAATGATTACCTTTATTGGGATTGTGCTAAAGGCCCTCCAGTAGGCAGTGTGAAATTGAGATGCAAATTTATAAGGAGATCTCATATCTCTAAGAATTGTAGGGTTGTAATGGTAGGGGATTTTAAATTTCCAAACATAGACTGGGACTGCCATTGTGTTAAGTGAGATGAATTTGTCAAGTGTGTACAAAAAACATTTTCTTATTCAGTATGTGGGTGTACCTACTAGAGAAGGAGCAAAACTTGACCTTCGCTCTGGTCAAGAAGAAAAGAGCGTGTGTCAGATATAGACAGCTGGGATTGAGTGAATCCCTCTGAGTATACTCAAGGGAAATCAAAGGGCAAAAAGGGACACTAGGTAGCTTTGGCAAATATGGTTAAGGAGAGTTCAAAGAGATTTATCAAACACATTAAGGGCAAAAGAGTAACTAGGGAGAGAATAGGGCCCTTTGAAGATGAACAAGGCTGTCTATATGTAGGACATGGGTGAGATACTAAACAAGTATTTTTGCATCAGTTTTTACTGAGGAGGAGGATGTGATATGTAGAGAACTTGGACAAATAAATAGCGATATCTTGAAGTGTTCATATTACAGAGGTGGTGGTGCTGGGCATTTTAAAACGATAAATCTCTAGGACCTGATCAGGTGTATCCTAGAACTTTGTGGGAAGCTAAGGAAGTGATTGCTGGACCCCTTGCTGAGCTTTTGTATCGTCCATAGCCGTGGGTGAGGTGCTGGAGAGGGTGGTTAATGTGGTGCCATTATTTAAGAAAGGTGATATGGAAAAGCCAGGGAACTGTAGACCAGTGTGTCTGATGTCAGTGGTGGGTAAGTTATTGGAGGGGATTCTGAGGGACAGGATTTACATGTGTTTGCAAAGGCAAGGACTGATTAGGCATGGACAACGTGGTATTGTGCATGCAAAATGGTGTCTCAGAAAATTGAGTTTTTTGAAGATGTGACAAAAGATTGAAGGCAGAGTAGTGGAAATTGTCTGTCTGTTTGGACTTCAAGGTGTTCAACAAGATTCCACATAGCCTGGTTAGCAAAGTTGGATCACTTTGAATCCAGGGAATGCTAGCCATCTGGATACAAAATTGGCTTGAAGGTAGGAGACTGAGCTTGGCTTTAGAAGATGGTTTTTCATACTGGAGGCCTGTGACCAGCGGTGTGCTGCAAGGATTGGTGCTGGGTCCACTGCTTCTTGTCATTTAAATGAATGATTTGGAAGTCAGTATAGGAGGAATAGCTAGTAAATTTGCAAGTGATACCAAAATTGGAGGTGTAGTGGACAGTGAAAGAAGGTTACCTCAGTACAACGGGACCTAGATCAGATGGGGTTTAATTTTGACAAATGTGAGGTGTTGAATTTGGTAAGGCAAATCAGAGCAGGACTTGTACATTTACTGGTAGGGTCCTGGGGCATGTTACTGAACTCAAAGACCTTGGGATGCAGGTTCACACCCCCTTGAAGGTGGAGTCACAGGTAGTGAAAAAGGTATTTGGTATGCTTGCCTGTATTGGTCAGTACATTGAGTATAGGAGTTGGAATATCATGTTGCGGCTGTACAGTACGTTGGTTCGGCTACCTATGGAATACTGCGCTCAATTCTGGTCTCTCTGCTGTATGAAAGATGTAAATCCCTTCTGCACCCTTTCAAGTTTAATAACAAGGATGTTGCTGGTGTTGGGAATGTTTGAGCTGTAGGGAGAGGCTCAATAGGCTGGTATTTTCCCTGGAGGGTCCGAGGCTGAGGGGTAACTTCATGGAAGTTTATAAAATCATGAAGGGCCATAGGTGGGATGAATTGCTCACATCATCTCCCCAGGGTAGGGGAGTCCAAAACTAGAGGACATAGGTTTAAAGTGAGAGGGGAAAGATTTAAAAGGGACTTGAGGGGCAACTTTTTCATGCAGAGGGTGATGGATGTATAGAATGGGCTGCCAGAGGAAGTTGTGGAGGCTGGTACAATTACAACATTTAGAAGGCATCTGGATGGGTACATGAATAGTAATGGATCAAATGTTGGCAAATGATACTCGATTAATTTAGGATACCTGGTCAGGATGGATGAGCTGGATTAAAGGGTCTGTTTCCTTGTTGTGTAACTCTGACTGCCTGATCCATGGGGACTCCTCGTTTCTTTCTTTCATGCTGTAATTTGGCAGCAACATCTGGAAAAGATGTTAGTTTCCTTGTACTCTTTTAACACCTAGCACTACCTCACATGCGTGCACGCTGGTAAGTTATCAACATGCTTCTCCAGTATTGGATGAGCAGAATTTTTTTCAGTTATGTTTTGAGAAAACCAAAGTCATTGGCTTCAATCCTCACTAGTAACTCACTTATTCTTTCTCAACTACCTGAGGTTGAATTGAACAGCCCAAAACCTTGATGTCCTATATAACCTAAGATGAGCTTCTGATCACTCATTTGCTTACGTAGCATTGCCTGATTCCATCATTTCCTTAGTTCAAGTTTTATCTGTGCTAGTGTTGCTTTTACAGGCATCTGGGCATCCTCATGCATGAATCTTGGAAAAACAATATGGAGGTAATATGGAAGGCAGATCCAATTTTTGTATTTATTATGAAAGAAATATAGTATGAAAGTAGGGAAAATGGTAGCTGCAACCAAACGAGGTACCAGTGAGACTGCACCTGGAGTAATGTATTTATTCTTTTTGAGATCCTAAATGCTGCTTTTTGTTCTTCCACACTACCACTGCACAGCATCTGTGTTGTGTCTGGAACATTGTATACAGTTTTGGTCCATTTACTTGAGAAATTTAATTGTTGGAGGCAGTTCTGAGAAGGTTCACTAGGTTCCTTCTAGAGATGAGGGGTTTTTCTCATGAGAGATTGACCAGTTTAGACATATACCACAGGGTTTAGAAGTAAGAGAAGATCTAATTGAAGTATTAAAAATGCTGAAGGGATTGATAAAGTAGATGTAGCAGAAGTATCCATACCTTCAACTGTTTGGATTTCCATTCTAAAGACTTTGCATCAAACTGTCCTCCTTTCTCAGGATTTCTTTAAAACAAGCTTTCTTGACATCTGACCAAATATATCATGATGCTACATGCTCAAATTTTGCTTTCTAATTCTTTATTTTACTACATGAATGGTTTATATGAATGGCTGCTGCCTATGAAATAGCAATGTTATGGCCCTCTGAATCTTTCTGTGTGTATTGAATTATTATCCTCGATGGTTAGAGTGCAGTGTGCATAGAATCCTGGCTAAATGTTGGGTGAGTGCATTTAAGGTTAACTTTCCATTAGGAAAGAAAATATTGACCAAGCTGTGCGTATAACGGATTTTCTGCCTAAGGGTCTTTTCTGTTGCACAGATTAAAATTAGTTTTAAAAATTGTTTCCCTTTATAATTTCTTGTTTCAAATGTAATCATTGATTTATTACTATATCAGACTGTGCTTTCAATATTCTCTAACATGGTTTAAGAATGAAATATTTCCTACGTTACATTTATTTTTCTCTCTTTAAAGGAAATACAGCCTTGCATGACTGTGCTGAGTCTGGGAGCCTGGACATCATGAAGATGTTGCTTAAGTATGGAGCCAAAATGGAGAAAGATGGCTATGGGATGACCCCACTACTTTCAGCCAGTGTGACTGGTCACACCAATATTGTGGACTTCTTGACTCAACATCCACAAACAAGCAAAATTGAACGTATTGATGCCCTAGAGCTGCTTGGAGCCACGTTTGTGGACAAGAAGAGAGACTTATTGGGAGCAATGAAATACTGGAAGAAAGCTATGGACATGCGATACAGTGATGAGACTAATGTTCTCACTAAACCAGAGCCCCAGGAGTTAATAATGGCTTATGATTATGCCAAAGAAGTAACCTCTCCAGAGGAACTGGAAGCCTTGATTGCTGATCCTGATGAGATGAGGATGCAAGCACTTTTGATCAGAGAGAGAATACTAGGTCCTTCACACCCTGATACCTCTTACTATATTAGATACAGAGGTGCTGTGTATGCTGATTCTGGCAATTTTGAAAGGTGTATCAACTTGTGGAAGTATGCTTTGGACATGCAGCAGAACAATTTGGATCCATTAAGTCCAATGACAGCGAGCAGCTTGCTGTCTTTTGCTGAACTTTTTTCTTTCATGTTGCAAGATCGCACAAAGGGTGTCTTGGGAACTTGTGTGTCCTTCAATGATTTGATTGGAATATTGAGCAAAAGTGTCTTTGAGATAGACAGAGCCATGAAGCAGGTACAGACTTCACCTGACTTAATACAATTGAGCAAAGCTCTCTCAATAATTCTGCACCTAATTTGTTTGTTGGAGAAAGTGAAATGCAGTTCCGAGCAAGAACATCTCAAGCGCCAGACCATTTACAGATTTTTAAAACTTAACTCCCGAGGGAAAACTGGGTTTTCCCCACTACATCTTGCAGTTGATAAAGACACTACTTCTGTGGGTCGCTATCCAGTTTGTAAATTTCCATCTTTTCAAGTCACTGCAATGTTGCTAGAGTGTGGTGCAGATTTCAATGCAAGAGACTTTGAGGACAACAGCCCACTGCACATTGCAGCACGTAACAATCATCCCGAAATCATGAATCTTCTAATAAAGGCAGGTGCACACTTTGACACCACAAACTCCCATAAACAGACTGCCTGCGATTTACTGGATGAGAAGGAAATGGGGAAAAATTTGATCCAGCCCATCAACCACACAAGTTTGCAGTGTCTTGCTGCCTGTGCCATAGTAAAACACCAATTAGTTTACAAAGGACAGATTCCAGAAAAACTGGAGGCTTTCATTTTGCTCCACAGATGAAATGAATGCTTTTTAGGTTGGTTTCTAGAATGCCTGTAAATATGGGAAGAATTTTGTTGCGTGCTTTAGTTTTCATCTGTGCGTGAAGAGGTGTTGAATGGATTCAGCAGCTGTTAGTGAATTTGGATTGCATGTTTTTGTTTTGCCCTCTGGGTCACCTTGCATTGCAATTCATGCACAATGGTAATGCATGCGTGTGTATATAGTATCTTATATCTGTTCATCTGTATTTTAATGGAAGTCTACTGTATGCTGCTTTGCTTTTTGTTTAAACTTGATTGTTTGTTTATTATAATTTGGAGTTCTAGCAACACCTCTGCTAAACTTGGTTTATGTTCTGAATATTTACAAGTAATGAAATGATTAGATTCAAGTTGACTTTTCTAAGTTTCTTGTGGTCCAGATTAGTGTAGATGCAATATTCCCACTGAGAAAAGAAAACTGGCATTCTGTTTTGTTGATTCTGCACACTGTCAAAGCTGGCTTTACTGTCAATGCCTTAAGTGCTTTAAAGTCTCCCAGTGCAATGGCTTGGAGAAAATACTGCTCATGTTAAATACATCACTATGCAGATATTGGAAATTGATTAGAACATTGGGCATCTTTCTCATGCTTTTTGTGGAGTGCTCATTTATTTAAAAAGCTTTGTTTTTCAAACTGTGTTAGGTATTCTGACCACTTTATTGATGGAAGCACCTAGAGCTTTTTTGAATATAAATAGGGCTATATCCTTGAAGTTGCTGCATTTTGACTCCTTTTTACTGTGTTTATGGAGTGAGGAGAGAGTTGAACTACTTTGATCTATACGAGTTAATGCATCATTAAATGGATTTCAAATCTTTTTAATAGCTTTGTACAGCAAACTCAGATGTTTCCGTTGAACAACAACCTGCCTACAAGGTATTGATAAATACCAGATATTACAGCAAAGTAATACATGAAACAATATCCACATTACTGTTGAATCTGGATGTGACATTTGAGGGCTAAGTTGGATTCGGGCAAATACTGTAATTCTGCACTTTACTGATACAGATGAGAATTATTGTGGTACACTGGCCATGTAATGTCTTAAATGAAGCATTCGAAATAAAATGCACAAAAAAAAGCTGCACTTGCATTCACTGGTATGAAATTGCTGTCTAATCAACTCAGTCATTGATTAAATATTTCCTTTCTATAAGGCAGTCACTGTTTAATTTGCATCTGGAACATTTTAACAATAGCTTCCTTAAGAGAACATGTCTGGATTTCACCTTTGTTTTAGAAGAATTTTCAGCTGCTTCTCTGATAGAAGTAACATGTTAAATTAATATTACTTTACAAACTGGTCACTCAAGCCTTTTTTTGCAGGTAAAGCTCTCTTTCTGGCTGATGGTGAAATTATTGATCTTTTTAGTTCCTAAATCTGCTGATTTCTGCACCACAATTTTCTTGCATTAAGCACTTCTTTCCAAAAGGGCTTTTGAGCTGGTTAAATGTAATACTTGAGCTTCCTTAATCTCTGGCTGTGAGGGCATTTATGGACATTTGGGGTTCTCGAGCCTTAAGATATGGCACAGTTTTTTTTAAACCTTTATTGCTGACCAGTGAACCAGTTTCAATTTATCAGGCGAAAGTGGTAAAAGGATGCTGTGATGAAAACTATTGTAATAGTTCTACTGTTTTTACTACAATGTAACTGACTTATCAAAACTGTTTTTCAGATGAATTAGGATGATTGGGAGTGCAGAAGTATGCAACTCAAACCACTTTTTACACACGTGGCTTTTTTGAATTGCTTAACACCAGCTGCTATGGTTGGGTGTGCCTACTTTATTACTTCTTATCATGGTCACTAGCCCTTGTAAAAAATTTTTTTTATCAAGTTCAATAAGTATCTTAGCTCCATGTTAGGTGGTTTTTCAAGATATGGGACTGCTGCTCATGAAACCAAGTGTCATACCCCATATGGTGGGCAATAAATAGGGAGACTATTCAGCGATATGAATTATTTGGACCCTGATCCAAAATTGCTGATTTTTACTGAGGAAGTGTACATACTTGAAACTCAGCAAAATATTCTGGGAGTAAAGTCCCACCAATGATTCTTTGTCACACAGTGTTCACACACATACCTGCAGTTTCTATCGAATTGTACTGTTCCTCTCCAGTCCCAATTGGAATGATTGAGAGCTGATTTAAGAGAATTTATGTATGGAGCAACCTTAACAATCTCAGGGCTTTCCTATACGTTTTACTACCAATGACTTTGTTTGAGTCTCCCTGTTATTATCATTTTTTAGGTAAACCACCAACCAATTTGTGTACAGCAACTCTCTCTCCATTATTAATTACACTATTCATAGATAAATGTTAATGCATTTGGGATAGCTCAAAGGAGATTTGCGAGATGAATACCTGGTGATTTTTATTGAGCAACCAAGGTCCTGAGGGAACTTGTTCTGAGGAAGGGCCACCGGACCCGAAATGTTAACTGTTTTTTTCCTTGACGGATGCTGCCAGACCTGCTGAGTATTTCCAGCGACTTTTGTTTTTGTTCCTGAGGGGATTTGACAAGGCAGATGTGGGGAGGGTATTTCCTCATGTGAAAGAATGTAGGTCTAGGGATCACTGTTTTAAAATTAGGGTCATCCATTTAAAACTGATTTGAGATGGAAATTCTTTTCCTGATGGTTATCTTTGCTTTCACCAACTTTTGAGGAAGACTGTACCAGATTTGTTAAATATTTTTGAGGCTTGTTATGCAGGGAGTTGAAGGATTACCTTTTAAGTGGACATGTGGATTTGAGGTTGCAATCAGATTGACCTGCTCTTATGGAAGAGCTGAATGCCTCTTCTCCACTCCCATCCCAGTAAACCCCACCAACACCATCCTCATTTGTGTGACAACAAGTAGATATGTTTTTAATTGTTTTGTTTGCATGATAAACACTGATCAGGACATCGTGATAAATTTCGTCCTCTCTAAACAAGTGCATTTTTTTAATCATCCATTCCCAGAAATGGACCATTCTAATTTCATAGCTGTCTAGTAGTTAATATATTTTAATACAATAGTTGAACAGTTGGCGACCTACATTTTAAGATTCACAGCATGAATACCCTGAGTAGTTCTGGATGACTTCCACACTTGTGTCAGCCAAACTGGTATATCAGTACAGCTTCTCCAGCAATCTGTTTTGTGTAATGTCACAATGCCTAGCAATTATTTAAAAATATGACTGGGGAGGGGGCGGGTGGAGAGAGAATGGATGGGAAGCAAACAATTACCTATTCTGTAATTGGATAGAATTGCCCTGTAGTGAATCTGTTGATAAAACAGAATATTCTGTAATAAACCAGTTTGGCCTATCTAATGATTGACATTGAGCCAGTTAATCGTAATCAGTTGCCATTTGATAAATTATGGCTGGTTTGGTTGTGCTCTTAATTAGACTTTCCTCCCTTAACCCTTAATTCCCTCCTCTCAAAGTCTAAGCCAGTTTTAAATATATTCAGCGACCCAGCCTTAATGAGCCATTTGGCTCATGTCCATTTTGATCAACAAAGACCTGATGACACTAATCCCATTTTCAGCTTTTGACCTGAGGCTATGGCAATACAAGTGAATATCTAAATACAGCTTAAGGGTTGTAAACGTTTGATTCAACTACCCTCTCCAACAATTAGTTCAAGACTCCCATCATCCTTTGTGGAAAAACTATTTTCCTTTTAGCCTTCTATCTCTTAGCTTAAACCTGTGCCCTTTAGTTATTGACCCTGTACTAATGGAAAGAGTGCCATTATATCCACCATGCCTGTGTTTCTCAGTCTTACACACCTCTGTCAGGTACCCTCTCTACCATTGTTGCTCCAAAGGAAATAGTCCAGCCTATCCAATTTTTCCTGAGAATGTCTAATGTAATGCCATAATTTCTACGTGACCAGAACTGTAGTTGTGACTTAACCAGCATCTTACACAGTTCCAGCATAATCTTTCTATTCAGCTCTTGAATTTTGTTTCAGCTACTAATAAGAAGAATTCCATGTGCTGCCTTAGCTATTTGCCCTCCTATCTTCAGGGATCTGTTAATAGGCACACTGAGGTGTCTCTGATTCAGTACTTTCCAGGGTCCTACTGTTCATAATAGTATCCCTTGTCTTGATAGTCCTCTCCAAGTACCTTTTTCTGGCTAAAATCCATTTAACACGGCTGTGTCTATCTGACCTGTGTTTTGATGTCATCGTGAAGTCAATGATTATCCCCTCCTTTTACTACCGTACTAATTTTTGTGTCATCTACAAACTTCTAAAAGATATCCTCTACGTTTGAGTCCAAATCCTTAAAAGTACACAAGCAGCAAGAGATCCAGTGCCAAATCCTACAAACCCTCCTAGAAACACTTCCAGTCACAGAAGCATCCCTCTACCATATTGCTCTGCTTCTTGCCTCTCTAAATCTTGGATCCAACATGCCACTTTGCCTTGGATCCCATCTGCTGTTATTTTCTTGACCAGCCATGTACCATGTGGGATGTTATCAAAGGCCTCGCTGAACTTCATGTACACTATATCAAACGTATACTACACCTTCAACACCGGCTACTTAAGAAAAATTTGTTCAACTTCCTCAACACTGACCATTGTTTAACTGATCCATACTGACTATCCCTAATGTAATCCTTCTCTGTCCCAGTGTAGATATATTCTGTCGCTCAAAATTCTTTCTAATAACCTCCCTGTGACTGAGGTTCAAAGAGATTTACAAAGACTAATGATACTCAGAAAAGTCGTCTGCCATCTCAGTGTTAAATAGAAGACCTCTTATTTTTGAAATGGCCCCTAGTTCTAGATTTTTCCCATGTGAAGAAATCTCCTTAAATCTTCCTTATCAAATTTTCCCTGAACTCTGTGTATCAAAACAAGATCTCATTTTGCTAAACTCGAGTATAGGCCCCAACTTACTAATTATTTCCTGGGGGTGTATCCTTTAATCCTAGGAATCGATGGAGTCTACCTTCTCTGAGCTGCTTCCAATGCAAGTTTATCCCTCCCTCCAAATAATGAGACTGTGCTCAAAGTATTTTAGATGCTTTTTTAGCACCATTTGCGGTTGTACTGCAAGCTTTTTATTAAGTGGCACCCGTGGGACCAGGTGTGTACTGGTTGATCAAATATTCCAGATAATTGGGAGGTCCACATAATCAATGTAAAAACACACCTGAAGTAATAGAAACATTTATATAGGGGCTATACATGTCACCATTATACTTTTTTTTTGAAACAGCATAAATCACTTTAATAATGCAACTTTGCCTTAAACAACATTTGACAGCCTTCTCAATTGCACCCTCAACTGACTAGTCTGACATCGTGGTAGATTGAGGTATTTGAGGAGAAATTGATTTGAAATTGAATCAGCTGTTGATATTTAGTGTAGCCATTTGATTGAACAGGTGTACTTATAGTGAGGGAAATAAATTATTAATTTTTAAAAAATTATCCACTTGTGAGATGTGGATGTTGCTGCCTAGCCAGTATTTATTGTCTGTCCCCAGTTGCCTTTGAGAAGGTGGTGGTGAGCTACCTTCCTGAACCACTGCAATCCACCTGCTGTGGGTTGATCCACAATGCCATTAGGGAGGGAGTTACAGGATTTTGACCCTGTGACAATGAAGGAATGCCAATATATTTCCAAGTCAGCATGGTGAGTGGCTTGGAGGGGAACTTGATGGTGGTGATGTTCCCATATACCTGCTGCCCTTGTCTTTCTAGATGAAAGTGGTTGTGGTTTTGGAAGGTGCTGTCTGGTGAATTTCTGCAGTGCATCTTGTAGATGGTGAACATTGCTGCTGCTGCTGAGTGTCAATGGTGGAGGGAGCAGATGCTTTTGGATGTAGTGCCAATCAAGTGGGCTCCATTGTCCTAGATGGTGTCAAGCTTCTTGAGTGTTCTTGGGGCTGCATTCATCCAGACAAGTCAGGGGAGTATCCCATCACACTCCTGACTTGTGCCATGTAGATGGTGGACAGGCTTTGGGGAATCCAGAGGTATGCTACTCGCCACAGTATTCTTAGCCTCTGTGTTCTGTTGTAGCCTCTGTGTTTATGTGGCGAGTCCTGTTGAGTTTCTGGTCAATGATAACTCCCAG